ATATTTTATTTATATCGAATTCAAATAAAATTTGTTAAACAATTATCTGCTCATTAATTTCAATTTTGAAATATATTTTTATTGTTTTGAATAACATTTTTGCTAACCTATAAATAATAACTAAAAAAAATTGATAAATATATAATGTATTTGTATTATTTATATTTTTAAATATAAAAAATGTAAAATACAATATAAAAAACAAAAATATTTCCATCATCCATAGATCCATCAAATCCAAAGAAATATTATTTTAGAATATTTAATATTTTTTTTTTATTATAAAAATAATTCTATTATAATTTAAGAATTTAAATAATAAATAAATATTATTGAATTTCTATTTTTAATAAGATTAATTACTTTAAACATATAGTTGAACATAATAATTATAAAAGAATAGTAAATTCATAATTTTTTCCAGCATATCTATTTCATTATATATCTATTTCATCTTTTACTCTTTTATTTATAGTTTATATAAAATAGTGAAAAAATATGAATACATTACGATAGATGTATTCTATAAAATACTATGAAATATTTGTATACTAATATATTTTCATGTATAAGCACAATTCAATAATATAATCTAAGTTTTTTTGAAAAGTAATTCGAAAAATAAATCCGAACGTCAGATATTGAAAAAATACAGAAAAATACAGAAAAAAGTGGCTCAAAATAATATTCTGAACATATAAGTTAAAGTCAAAAAATTTGAAATTAGTAATAATTTTTCAACAAATTTACTTCTGAGTATAAATAGTAAATATTATATTTATGATTTACATTACATTAAATGAAATACTATTTTCAAATAGAATTTGCTTATATAAATATTTATTTTTCTAATATTTGTTTTAATTTATTTCAAATTTTCTTCAGTTTTTTGTGATATAGTATCGGTCATGGAAAATATTTTGTCATTGATCTTTACGGAGAAATTATATTCATAGAAGTACAAGTTAAGCTATGCGTTATGATTTATTCCGAAATAAATCTTCCAGGATTAGCGTCATATATATTTTCAGTTTAATTGATCGTTGATTCGCGTTGAAATACGTATATAATTTATTAATCATAACAAGATGAATGAAATGCATATCTGGATACCGTAAAAGATTTCATCCACTGATAATTATATATAAGAAAGATGTTTTTAGAAATTTTACTTTCTGTATCTTATAATTTATTTACTCGAAACAAATTTTATACATTTGTTTGTAATATTATACATTATACATTATATTTTTCGCATAATGAAAAATTTTATTTTGTATCTCTATTTATTTTCTATATTTTAATATTTTGTATTTGCAGGTGAGTCCTGTATTATTATTGAGAGGTGCTGCTACAGAAACGATTGCGAAGTCTGCGAGTCCATTGTGAAGTTTATAAAGATTACGCATTGAGGGTAAAGTATTATAGATTTTCTCGATATGTTTATATATATATTAAAATATGTGTCATATTAAAAATCAATGAATTTTTTATTTTAACTCAATACAAATATTATTTCATATACGAAAATAATATTTTATTATTTTTTCGATTACATATATTTATTCTTTAGAATTTATTAATAGATCCGTAAAATAACAATTAAGAAGTAGATTTAATAAAATATTTAATGATGAATTTTATTATAAACTTTATGATAATGAAATATAAATATCATTCATAAAAAATCAAATATTTAATAATACATTTTAGAACATAAATAATTAACATTATGATTATAATATATTGACATAGATAATTAACCATTTATATTTTAAATAAACATTATTATTAGCCTTTATATAAGTTTGTTTCAATCATTAAACAATAACATAACAATAACATAATATTACTGAAAATTAAATAAATAATCCATTATACAAATTTAAGAATTTTCCTTTAATTTAAAAAATATATATATAATTATAATTATATATATAATTTATTATGATGCTATGAGTATTATATCTGAATTCATCAATGTTTACATATTTTTTTAGTTAGTTATTTCATATGTTAAAAAATTTAATAAAAAGATATATTCTTTTATAAATAATATTAATTTTAAGGTATAACAAGTTAATTAATTATGATTATATTTATATATAAAATTAACAAGAATTGAGTGATAAATAGATATAATAACACAATATGAATCTTATGTTTTATTTAATTAAAAAAAAATTTCACGAAAGAATATATTTTGTCCGATAACAAATAATAGCGCATGTTATTACATGAAGGATATATGCATGGAATATCATGTGATCGCAACAACGTGCCTATTTTCTCTGGGCTACCATCAATTATTCGATGCGCTTTTGCAGCTGCATTTCTCGCCGTGAGCACTTCTTACTCTCCTTAATTACCGTAGGGCAGGTCAGTGCACCTGGCGAACATTTTACGACCTTGCTCGATATGTCGTTTAATCGTTGCTGCTTTACGCACATCTAAACGAAGAAATCGATTAATCTCGTAACTAACGCTATCAACTATCCTCCGTGAATAAGTTATATTCTAGTGAATAAGTCTAGCAAACGCAGAACCAAAATATCGCTTTCGATGCTATGATGTAATTAATAAATCCATGAATATTTCTTCGTTTTAAGCTATATCATCGTTTTCGATCTCACTTTTTCATTTCATTTTCATTTTTTTATAAATTAATAGTAAAAATCGATAGTATGTATAGTATCGATATATATTAAATGGAAAATATATATCGTTATATCGATTTTTTTTTAATGCACTGTATATTTCTATTATTACATATAACAAATATATAAATATACTTTATATATGTATGTTAATATATTCATGAAATATCTTCGGATGATTGATTTTAGAAATCAAAAGTTGGTATACAAAAATATCGATTAAGATTTATTTATTAAATTATAAGTAATTTAAATTTATTTATAAATTGATTTTAAAGCAAGATGAAGACAAAATGTAATAAAAACAAAATAGTTTCTCTGTCTTAGCTATTTAATGTGAATTTAAATTAGACTCAAATTTAAGACTCAAATTTTATACTATTTAAGAATATAAATTTCGTAGAAACGCATTATATACTTATCGATAAGAATAAATAAAAAAAGAATAACCTAATATAATTTAATTGATATTTATTATATAATATTTGATATTTAATTGGGGATTTCAGAACTTATTTATGATGTGTAACCATAGGTTATATAGGAATCTATTGGAGTTAAAACTTCTATGGAAGAAATAGAGTGGAAGAAATTTCTCTTGAAACTGACCAGTCTTTTATGCATTCTCATGAACGATATTCGATAAATAGAATACAACTTTCCACATTTGAATGCCAAATTTTGATATCTCTTTCATCATCAATAAACTGGAATATCTTTATTCATATAATTTTTATTCATATAATAAATAACTTAAAAAACAATTTAAAATTAAACGAAAATATAAATAATCAAATAAAAATATTAATATTACTACAAATTTTAGTATTTTAATATTATTTAACATATTTATTTATACGTAATTGTTAAATATGAAATTTTTCATCATATGTAATCTTTTATTTTATTATGTAAGTAACCTACAGATTTTATGTAAATTTATGAGTTATTATAATATTGAAAAACAATTTGCAGTTTTCTAAATAATTCATTTTATGTTTCAAAACGAAACAATAACCATTAATTTAATTATTCCTCTATTTTAAAACAATCTTTCAAAATATACAATATAAATTAATTTATTTAAAAATCTTTATATCTTTTTTTTTCATTTATATATTTTTGCTATATATTATTTCATATCATAATCAATATCAATCTTTAAGAAAATCCAATTTTGATATAAAAATATTTAAATCTCTAAAAACATACCTATATACCTTTATTCTTATAATTCGTCATAGTTTCTTTCTTTACTTTTTCTTTTTCATTCTTCTCCTTTCTTCGTTCTTCCTTCTTTTTTGTCTTCTTTTCCTTTGACTCGCGGCAATTTGATTGTTGCCCTGCGAACCTTTGGTTATCTTCTTTTTCAACCTTTTGCATTCTCGAAGTCCTGAATGCGAAGTCGGCGTACCTACACGATTCTGTTCCGAGGTTAGACTTTTATGAACACGATCTGTTAAATCTTGCCTAAAGTAATTATATTCTCTGAAGAAAATCAGATTTTCTTAATATTCTTTCTATTTAGCTTTCTATTTTGCTATTTATAAATTTTTTTTTCAATTGTAATGATTAAAAATTGATAATTAAAGTATCGGAGAAAGCTAAAGTTTAGTCATCGATTAAATCATTGTTTGTATCTAATTTTTGTTAGAAATACATTGTGGATGAGTATTTTATCAAAAAATAAGATTGAAAAATCATTTAAAATGAATATTGTTAATATAAAATGATTTCATAATGTGAGAATAAGAAAAAATACTAATAAATAGATTATCCGATGATCGAGAAATATAAATTTTTGAATAAAGGAATTTATAAATAATATTATAAATAATAAAATATTACTATTCATTTTCAGAAAATAGATAAATAATAATTGCAAATTCTAAATTATTTTAATTGTTAAATTGCATAACTTTTTTTTTAGCAAATTAATTCGATAATGTTATATTCCTTTTGACTCTCATATTTTCAGCTTTATTTTTAAAACTTCAAACGTTTCAAAATATTGAAATATTATTTAAATATTTCATCATTATCATTATCAATATATCATTTATATTCCATTATTATTCAATTTATATATTATTATTCAATGCATATATAACAATAATATGATCAATATAAAAAATTTCATTGCATGAATCATATTTATAGCTACACATTTCTCATTCTCAAATTTTTATTTCATATTCTATTCTCTCTCAATTAGTATTATACATTTTTATTACTGTTAAGACATTAGGTTCGTATTATAATTACATTGCTAGATTAAATCTTTGCTGATAGAAGAAATTGCATCGTATATGGATCGCTTTAGATAGAACTGTTTACATGTGAAACGTGCTCGAATAATGAAACATTCGAATTAGGAAGTAGGAAATTGTTTTTTTGTAGAATAATATCTTCATAAACGTTGAAATTTTTTAATAATTATAAAAAATTATTTTAAATATATTGAGCAAATGAAAGCAAAATAATAAATACGATTGCTTACATACTTCATAAGCCAATTGTTAAATATTAATTAATTGGATTAAAGTGTAAAAGATATATAATTCTAAATATAACAATATAAATACATAATATTAAACAAAGTCATTTTATTGATTAGTATTATTTGATATATACATTGATCGATATTCATTCTTTTCTAATATATTTATTTTCTTTAAATAGGCACATATATTTCATAGCTAAATAAACTAGATATTTGCTATATTAGAATGAAATCAAAAATATTTAGAATGTTAAACAAAAAACAATTAGATACATTTCGATTATATTATTTGATATATTTGTAATATTATTTTTTAGAAAATATATTATTACTCGTTTTTTATGTTTTTTGTATTTTTATAATTCTATTCAATATTTATGTTTCAAATATGATAATTATTATTATTTATTTACTAATAAATAAATTATATTTACATTCACAAATATGTATATGAATTCCGATGTTTAATTTTAAAATCTATTTCTTTCTGACAACTGAACTATGTACCTACAGAATATATAAAAAATTTTATATTATTATTAAGGAATATATATCTTATTATTTTTAGAAATATGAAATAAACTTTTATATAAACTTTTTATAAAAATTTTATATATAATATTTTTTAATATTTTTCTCTCTACAGAATGAAATCGAGTTATGATGAATGAGTTGGAAATAAAAAGAAAATGAATAAAAACCACAACAGAAATATATTGTGAAATTTGTCAACCAAAGTTTCAATGTTACATTAATTCAAACAAACATTATTTTAAGTAGAACTGCTGTAACATGATATTTGCTTATTTCTCTTTTATTTATTATCGAATGATTTTATAATTGAAATTCGTTAAAAAGGTCTCTACATCATCATTAATGAAAATATAATCTACAATTAAAAAAAAAAATGGAAGTGATCTTGAAATTTCTGAAAATCCTTTTATAGAAAAAGAACTATTATTGTCATATTATAACTCTTCTATTGTACAGTTTTCTTAATTTATAACAAGTTATAATTTAACAAGTTTTTCTTAAATTTTTTTTATTTTTTTTTTATTTTTTTTTTATTTTTTAAAAAATAACAAAAATATTTAAGATATAACTCTCTTTTACTTTTTATATTTTACATTTTGCCATAGGTCAATATAACAATAGCTAAAATGTCTTTACACAGCTTTTACACAACATTATATTTAATAAGGTAAATATAGATAATTCCATCGTGTTTTTTTTGTTTATTCCTTCTCTTTCTGT